GTTTTAGTATACATACATATGAAATACGTTATGAAACATTAGGATTTAGTATACGACAAGAAGATCATCTTTTATTCATTACTAGCTTCTAAAATTGATAATGCTGAGATATTGCAAATATATATAAAATATATATAAAAAAAGGCTTCAAGTATATTTTGCAAAAAAAATAATATACATGATAATAAAAATAATAAAAAAAGAAGTGAAATTAAAATAATATTTCAAGTATTTTCATTAAAAAAGTTCTACAGAAATGTGATTGAAGTGGAGTGAAACGAAAAGGTAAACCACACTGAAATAACAGACAATTGAAGATCACTCATATATACATATATCCAAAAATTTCCAATGTATATCCAGACGTTTTAAACAAAGATCGCGGTCTCGCGTTCTGGGAAAATTTAAAAGTATGAAAGCAGTGTCTAATATTACTGATGATAGAAAAAAAATAATTCGAGATAACGATCACAGAATCCTCTGAATAATGGCGAAAACTCGCACATCGCCGATGTGCGCTCGAAAATTTCCTATACTTGTCCCAGCGTTCGGAACCAAAATCTAAAAATACTGGTGTAATATCTGAGGTTACAGACGAATAAAAAAAATAATTCATTAAGATCGTGTACCCGGAACCCATCTGAATAATTGCGAACATTCGCGGGATTGCTCGTACTTGCACTCCAAAATTTCCTACGCTTGACTATGTGTTCTCGCGCGTTACATTTGTTTTCTTCTTAGCAACGATCGTTGATAGTTCATATAATATTTGTATAGTATTCTGGATATGATATATATTATCACTGCCTAAGAAATTTGAGGTTTTACAGCATAATATTAGCGTAATTGCTGATGTGATTTGTGATCAAGTGTCAGACATTTCTGATGTCAATTTTTATGAAAGAAGCGATGGATCATTGTGCCATATAGTAATTACATTTCGTTTATACATATTTGTCATGCTTTTACTTAATATTATTCGTAATTGAAATTTTTTTATGAATTTAAATTCTTTAATGTCTTACTATTTTTTATACATATTTCCAAATTTCTGAAAACGAAAAAAAACGAAACGTTGATAATATGTAATTATTATATGCATGTATATGAATAAGGAATAAGAATGTTCATGGTTTGCAGGTTTAGTCCGTAATAGATTAAGGAAAAAAAATAAGAATATTTTTATGGTATCTTCTTCGATATCCACAGATATTTCCCGTAAGTACAATAGCAAATTTAATAATTTGTCTTAGATTTAAGAATGTTTTCTTTAATTGCGATTATTTTGTGATGTTGGGATAAAGTTATCGAAATCGCATCGGCTCCTGAATCGCACATCGTGCTTAAAAATTCAATTATTGTAAGATACAATGGACTTAATAATTCTGTATCATTTGGTAAATTTAATTCGTTTTTTTGCTTTTTAATAAATATCACCACAGAGATTAATCTCTTATTATAATTTCTTTCTTCATCCAAGACTGATATTTTCCCACTCAAATTCATGATTGTGCTCAATTCTGTGTAATGACGGACTGCGAAGTAGTATATTATTAATATAGTTTCGGTGCTCACCAATATTTGTTTGTTTAAGAAATTTTAAAAACCGTCATTACAGAACACAGAATTGAGCACAATCATGAATTCGATTGGGACAATATCAGAGTCTTAGACGAAAAAAGAAATTATAAGAGATTAATCTCTGAGATAATATTTACTAAAAAGCAAAAAAACGGATTAAACTTACAAAATGATATAGAGTTGATAATATTCTTGAGGCTTCCACGGATGTTTCCTATATAAAGATTATGCGTTTCGCGGGTTTTCTCCATGTCCAGATCCATTCTTGGAATGCCAACGTTTCGTGAACCTTGTCCACTTCGGGGCTGAGATCTCAGGGCTCCTCACCCTGATGAAGTGGACTGCAAGGTTCATGAAACGTTGGCATTCCAAGAATAGATCTGTAAGTTTAATCCGTTTTTTTGCTTTTTAATAAATATTGTCTCAGCGATTAATCTCCATATGAATTATTAAGCTCATTACAGAATTATTAAGCTCATTGTACAATATTACGATTTAGTAGGATTGATATTTCTTTGTTTTAAATAGGTCATAGTTATGTTTATATATTTATTTCCAATAATATTTATTTTTAATTTAATTATCAGACGTTTTCTTTATTCCTTTGTATTACTTACTGCAATTAAACTTTCTCATTGCAACGATGTCTCTCTCCATATCGTATTATAACAGACTATCATTAAACATATTGATATGTAAGTTTTTAATAATTATGACTGAAATAATTTTAATTTATTAAGTCTTTTATAAATTATTTTATTTTAGAGTAACATAGAGTGAAACAAGATTTTATAAATGTTATTTTTCATAGATATTCGTAGTGGAATATATAGTGAGGTTTGTTTGTCTCAAAAATTCTTAATTTTTCGTTGTTATTTATAGTGAGACATAGAGACGTTGTTTGAGGGAGGAGGAAGTTTATTCTTGGTTTTTCAAACAAACAACATTACTTCCATTAAAAAATTAAGGATTTTTTAAGTTCTTATCTCAATTTATATAAAAAACTTTTTCGTAAAAACTTTCCATCAAGATGGTATATATTTTTTATTTTACGTATGAACTTTATTTTCAACGGAATTTGAAAGGAATTTTGCATTTTAAATACACTTTTTAAAAATATTTTATAATTAATATTTTAAATGGAATTCGAAATTTTACCTAGTCCTGATTATTCCTCTTATTTTAATTTTTGCTAAAAATTTATTGTTACGTAAAAATGAAAATAAGAAATGATAATACAATCTTCATTGACTTTGATCTTGACAAATGTTATCGAGGACATGTTCTCGAACAACATTCAAGAGGTTTTAGCTTTTCGTCGGACACCTTGCGTCTATGCTAATGCTAATGCCAGCGATATTGTAACTTTTCAGCCTTGAAACTCGAAAAGGACGAAGAGAAATAACTTTATTACAATGTTTTGAAAAGCTCTTAACACCAACTATTAGATTCTGCCATAAAAAATAGAGTGTTCCATTAAAAAAAATCATTTGTGACCTTGACCTTGGCGACGCCATCAAAGGTCAAATCAATCTTCTTATATTCTCTTATATCCTTCTCCGAACCATACAATTTTTGTTTGAAACATTTTTCCGTATCTTCCATATTTGTCGAGATATTTGCCTGGTTCGATTAAAATGACTCACCCTGTGCATAATCTCAAATAATATATCAAAATAACGTTTTATTGATTGGAAAAAAGCATAAATTGGTGCGTTTAGCAGTTTTAGGAAAGTATCGAATTTCGACGATTCTAGTGTTAAACATCAAAAAAAAAATTACGAAAAAATTACAAATGAAAAGGAAAAGAGTGCAGTTTATTGTGCTGCAAAAATTTAAGAATATTCTTCGTAATTTTTATGAGTGAAAATTTTTATGAGTAATCTTTAAGTGAAAAGTGGTATAATTTTTGGCAATTTTATCCAATTTTATCTAATTTTTAGGTATTTGTGTGTTAGGGGTTACACCACCTTGGAGGTTTCAAAAAATTCGAATTTTTGTTTTTGCCTTAAATGATAGTTTATAGTCTTAAAAGTTCTAATAGTTAAAATTAAAAAATTCATATTTTTTAATCAAGTTTCGAGCCAGTTTAGTGAAGCGTGTCTGTAGTGCCGATGAGTTCGGAACAATTCGGAATACCTGAACTTGTAAATTAGATCAATAACTAACAGCTTTGATTTTATACACGTAGGTGGCAGTAAGGTTTTTTTGAAATCATATGTTATACAGATAATATCAGAATAGCTATTTATACGCTGCTGTTTAGACCGTGTTTAGACGTTATAAAGTAATAGATTTTCTACACTGTAATAGATTTTCGCGCTTACTTTATCAAATGTCAAACGTTGTGTATTCCACAAAAAAGACTTTAACTAATATCACAAGCGAGCAAGTCCACAGCTTCAAATAAACGACCGTTGAAACGATTTTCTCTAAAAAACATCGAGAATGTAAGCACATCTGCCAAAAAACTTAATATGTGTGAAGGTGAATATGAAATTCATGTAGACAGGTCGTTTGGATATATCGTTTCATAAACTTCATAGCTGTATTCTCTCTGATTTTTGAATTAGTAGTGTAGAAAATGTGGATCAAATGTAAAATTCAACAAGCTTAGATTTTAAAATCATCGTTATTTGTGACAAATGTGAATCAAGTTCAATAAGTGTTAGTCGCCTTATTTAACAATTACGCATACGGTATTAATCGCCGCATTGTATTTGCGGTTATTAGGCATTGGTTTGGCATTACAAAATTTTGTGCATTTATGGATCTGTCACATCCAATTTTTCAATCGTTTTACGGTCGTTCGAGGCATTTCCGTTGCTATTAGAATGTTTATGAGAAATCAATGAAAAAAGCAGCTGCCGAGAAAAAAGATCTCTAGAAGAAGGACAAATTACCGATACAACAGTGTCCGACGATGGATCATGGAGAAAGAGAGAATTTTCATCGTTGTATAGCTTAGCTTCGTTAATCAGATGGCACACAAATAAAATCATAGATATGCTTGTCAAAGCAAATCAAAATTGTAAATTCTATGAATTTTGGAAAACTAAAAAGGATACTATAGAGTGATCTGAAGAATGATCTAAATTGCATAATGAGAATAGTCAAATAAATCATGGAAGGATTTGCTAGAAAAATGGAGATAGATGATATAGTCGAAATGTTTTCTCGCTCCGAAACTTTGCATGGACTAAAATATTGTCAATACATTGGCGGCGGAGATTCGAAAATTTTCAAAGTGTTATAGATGCTCAACCTTGCAGATATTACCGAATTTGAAAAAAAATGTAGCGATCATGTACAGAAGCATATGGGTACACAACTTCGCACTTCGAAAAAAGATGATAAAAGGCGAAAAAGAGAAACAGCAAGATTAATCGACGATTTAACAATATATAGAGTCTTTCAATACGACGCTCAAAAAGTTGTTAGATCATAGTAACCATTAAAGTGACATCTGTCAAATTTGTTGTGAATTGTTTAGTAGTGTATGGCCAATCATCATGGAAGGTCATAGTGTTGAGCAATGTGTGCAAATCATAAAATTTTATTATCAAAATCAGTGCTCCGTTCGAGAAACATTCCGCGCATTACGTGATTTTTATCCTCGCCACAACCGTCCTGCCGAGGAGATCGACTATTCGACGTTTGGTGGCCAAATTCGAATCAACCGGTTCGATAAATAATCAGCCAACAGTACGTCGCCGAAACGCAAGGTCTGCTGAAAACATCGCTGCTGTGCGTGAGAATGTATGGGAAAACTCGAGGCGGTCAATTTCTCGTCATTCACAAGAATTTGGCCTTTCTGCGACTTCAACTTGGCGAATTTTGCGTCGGGACTTGGGTCTGCACCCCTATAAAATTCAACTGACCCAGGAACTTAAGATAGACAACGCTGATTGGGTTCTGGAGCAGTTGGAAGTTAACCTAAATTTCGCTAAATTATCTTTAGCGATGAGGCCCATTTTTGGATGAATGGATATGTGAACAAGCAAAATTGTCGAATTTGGGACGATACCAATCCACGCGAGGTACACTAGCTCCAAATACATCTCGAGAAAGAATCACTGTTTGGTGCGGATTTTGATCTGGCGGAATCATCGGTCTGTACTTCTTCCAAACGAAGCGGGCATTGCCATAACCGTTAACGGCGAGCGCTACAGATCGATGATAAGCAACTTCTTGTGGTCTAAAATGGATGATATGGATACCGATAACATGTGGTTCCAACAGGATGGCGCTACGTGCCACACACGATGGACATTCTGCACGAGCGATTTGAGGGCATGGTTATCTCGCGCGGCGGCGACGTGAACTGGCCATCGAGATCGTGCGATTTAAACTTCTTCTTTTGGGGCTATCTTAAATCGCAGGTCTATATGAAACCGCAAACAATTGCTCTCAAAGTCAACATAACAAATGCCATCCAGCAAATTCAGCCAGATTTATGCGAGAAAGTCATCGAAAATTGGACCGCCCGAATACGTGTCATCAAGCGAAGCCGCGGTGAATATTTGAGTGACGTTATATTCCATACTTAATGCCATAAAATATTCTTTCAAATAAAAAAAAATTTAGTGGATATCTCATATACAACTTGTTTTATTTACATTTAAAAATCGAACGTCCTTATTGAAAGACCCTACATTATGATCTTAGTCGAAATTATAATTCTATCGAGAAAATGAAGAATGAAATATGGGCGACACTGTACCATAAAGTCTCCGCAGATGAAGTACCGCAACACGATAACTATCCGCTCGGCGCAAATTCGTGCTCATGGCAGAAAGCAAAAGCTTCTGGTAATCTAGAAGAGTATAGACATAAACTGTTTCTTAATAAAGCAGTTTTCGATACCGTAAAACTTATTTACGAAGATTTTAAGCAATCTTTTAAACCGTTGCTTAGGAGACTTTACTCAAAATAATAACGACAGCTTCAAAGCTGTTGTATGGTCAATAGCACCGAAAACATATTCAAGCGATAAAAAAATATTCAATATAGCATCAGATATTGCTGTTTGCAAATTCAATGATGGATTTAGTATTTTGGAGATTATGCAGGTTTTACAACTAAATATCGATCATAATTTATATACTTTCTGCACTGAAGCGGACATCTAACGCGTGAAGGCTGTTGAGCGCGCAATCATCATCATACGCTAAAGATGCTTGAAAATTATCCATAATGAGCAGAAAAGAAAACATCGATGATATAGAAGGACAGTATAGCCCAGGCAAATTAAAGGTAAATTTGATATTTTTTTAACACGAAATATCGCAAAGCAAAACTTTAAATGCGTTTTTCTCGTAACTACATTTGCAAAGTTGGCGTTGCGCGGATCTCAGAAACTGTTCATTCAATTTACTTGAAATTTACACTACTAAATCTTCTTTTTGATATAATCTAAAGAAATACATACGGATTTTGCGATATGTTAAAAACTTTTTTTTTATTAACATTTTTTGATGAAATTTTTTGATAAAAAATAAAACTTTTTTTTCAAAGGTTCGCCATTTTTGTAAAAATCAATATTTCGAAATATTCGTACGTATTTCTTTAGTACTTATTACGAAGAGAAAATAAAAATTTTTTTCTTTTTGTTCTATTAATTATTCTATTAATTAATAGGTTCAACCGAAAGTCAGATCCCGCAACGCCGATTTAACAGTCGCAGCAAAAAACAACATTCAGTACAATGGCTAGTGTCGTCATTTTTCATTAAAAAAAAGTTGAAAAATATATAATTTTATAGCTAAAGACTTGTTCTATAAAAGACTTATAACAAATTTTTCATTGTTTTCCTTAAAAAAATTCCCAAAATTATCTATGATTTTTAGGCGGTCAAAGTGGTGTAACCCTTTAAAAACAAATTCTCTGCTTTAAAATAGAAATTCTCTTAAAAATAAATTCTTTCTATAAGAACAAAAATTATATAAAAAATAATTTATAAAGAAGAGAATTTGTGTTTTTAAAACACAGAATTTGTTTTTAAAGTAGAGAATTTATGTTTATAAAACAGAGAATTTGTGTAAATCTCTCTATGTCATCCCTCTATGATAGAAGAAGAAAAAACTGGAAAGCAGTTTCTGCTAGCATCGAATGAAAATTTATTAGCTATGGAGATATTCAACAGAGTAACGACTCCGCTAGCATTGAACAAAGTTTGATGTATATTGAAATGATATCGTCAAGTACAAAAGCTCAATCTTTAAAAAAGCTTTAAGTCTTTAAAAATATAAGTTATTGTTCATAATATTTCTTTAGTGTGAAAGGAAACAGTTTATACTGATCATTTTTATTTATAACGATTATACAACATAAAAGACATAAAATTACTTTACTATTATTATAAATACACATAAAAGTTAATAGTTATCGATAAAAATGTAACTAAATTAAGTTTAAAAGTTAAATGTCTAAAATCTAATTTAAAATTAATCAACTTTTTAATGTTTAACTTAACTTTTAATTTTTTAACTTGACACTATGCAACCCTTATTTATTCTTTATTCCTTATTCTTATTCCTTATGCTTACAGACGTCTGGAACTCCAAACAAAGCCGTTGAGTATAAGCCGTTTAGGAGTCTACTCCTAAAAAAAACTTGTAGAGTGGAGGAAGGGGTCCATGAAGATTCGATAGTGGGCGCCATTTTCTCGTTGAACAGCGGATTTAAAATCGAGAGCGGACGTAAATGACCTCCGTATATGTTCAACCCGTATAAATAAAAAAATAATTTTATTCGTATAACTTGACCATTTTTACAAGTAAAATACATACATATATAACGAAACAAATTTTTATTTAGTATTATGTTAGAATAAAAAAATGGTAAATCGCTCTACAAAAAAACTCTACAAAAAAGATGTTATGACTTCTTCGTTCTCTTATAATGTCATCTTACAGTGTCGTTTCATATGTATTTTTTTATTTACGATCGTGTATAAGATTATAGGTTTTGAATAAAAAATGAATTTTTTAAAGATAATTTATTTTGTGCTGTTCTACAAGAAGCAAATATATAACGGGATAATTTCTTAAGAATTTTTCCATATATCTACGAATATGCTAAAAATTTTCCATATATGCCTTCAGCTCCAATATTATTAAAAATATTATTAAAATATTATTAAAAAAATGTAGTCATTTTAAACTACGCAATTTGCAAAAAAAAAAATTGTAAGAATTTTATTTTCAAATTCGTAGAAATCATTTTTTAGCTGATTTGATATAGAAACAAGCCACAAATATACGAATTATGAGTATGTATTTCTTTAATTAAAATAAGAGATCTTATTTTTACAGTAACATCTACAAAATTAATAATTTTTTACAATAGTAATATTCAACTTCGGCCTTCCTCTCAAATTCTGATCAACTCTTCTATAGCAACTACAACGGTAACCATTATCACGACTATCGCTACTTCGACCACCGCTACCTCGATCACCGCCATCTAGATCACTGCCATCTTCATCACCACCTTCACTATCATTGCGATCGTAACTATTTCGATGTATAGTTGGCGCGTCGTACTGATAATAATGGCGGAGATCCGGCTCGGATCCGGCTATGACTATGTTCTCATTGATTTACTGATGAAATAAAAGAAAATATAAAAATATTGTAAACAAAAATAAATATACTAAAAAAAAAATATTAGAGATGTATTGGATATCCGATCTCTGGTGGTTCTTTTGTTATCACAGATATATTATATATACAGATATACTCTCTAAATCTGAATCAATGGATAGTCACTAATTACACAGTGGCATACTTAGCACTGAAAATTAATGAAGTTCAATTAAAAAAGGAAGAATGTTTGAGCATTATATAACTAAAATATTGATATTTGTTAATGACACATTAATTCCAATACATTTTCCATACAAGCACAAAACAAAATTAGTTAGATCACATAATAAAGATTAGCTAGGTTAAGGATCTCACATTTAATTCATTGATTACCAGTAGCACACGTGGCACAGATATCAGTGATTATCCACTGA